CGACTCAAAATCGGTCCCTTTCTTCCCCCTTAGCTCTCTGACCTTAGGCCGGTTTGCTGACCCTTTCCTGAGCTTCCTCCTCCTCTTAATCTCTAACGTGGGAATAACTGGATATGCCTCCCGGGGCTGGTGGGAGGATTAATAGTAGTAATGGCTAGGTAGGAGTTTTCTGTTATGTACCCGTTACTGTTCCAGGACCTTAATATGCGTTGCCTTATTTCAGATAGAGGGTATTAGAGCAGCAAGTAGTCAATACAGTATATGCTGGTTTGTCTTGAGTCTTTTCACATCTCTTAATAACCCAACTGTTCTGTTTGCTGCGGTTCATTATCTACATCTTTGTTTCTCAGCAGTCCTAACTTCTCCACATAACGAAAACTTTGGAGTACAGATCCGAGTGAGAATCTGGTTCTGCAGCCTAACCGGTTCTACATTTTAATCTTGCTGTGCTTTGGTTTCCTCGTGTGCGGCAGGGATGCTCATATCTAATTCTGCAGGAGTGAAAGAAGTGAAATGAGACAATCCATGTCAGGGAGCTGGCAGACCGAGGCACTGGGCAGTGGGTTTCTTTCTCTTCTCCCTCCGCAGGCTGCCCCCCGGCACCCCCCCGCTCTTGCCCTTGCCTCCACACTGTATCATTCGGTGTTAATGATTCCCTCGGTCATACTTTTAAAAACACTTGTGCAAGTAGGACAAAGGTTCTCCCTGTTGTGAACACCTTGTTCTCTAGCCTCTCATCCTTGTGTCTAGGCCACAGGTTAGCAAGAATACTAGGCACGTAGAAGTTTCTCGGTGAATGTCTATCGAGCAGAATAAATGACGTGGTTGAGAATCCAACCAGCTCGTATTTGCTGTCAGGCTCTGATAGGTGGTGTGTTTATTTGCTGGGGCTGCCATAACAGACCACCCAGACTGGGTTGCTTAGACAACAGGAATTATTTCCTCACCGTTCTGGAGGCTTGCAAGTTTGGTTTCTTCTAAGGTTTCCCTCCTTGGCTTGTAGGTGACCATCTTCCTTCGGTGTTCTCACATGGTTTTCTCTCTGCGTGTTTGTCCTAATTTGCTCCTCTTACAGCAGTATCAGTCATATTGGATTAGGGCCAGCCCATAGGACCTCATTTTACCTGAATTACCTCTTTAAAGTCCCTGTCTCCAGAGAGTCACATGCCAAGCTCCTGGGGAGTTAGGACTTCAGTGTACAAATCAGTGAAAGGGAGGGAGTGCACAATTCAGCCCATAGAGAAACTAGCACAATGATCTTTTCTAAGGGTCTGTGCTTCTCCAGAAAAGATATGTAAGTGACTACTCTGTTGAGTCACAGAGCTAGAAAAAAAAAAATCTAGATGAAGAATACTAGATTTTTTAAAGAGTTGAGTGATGTTTGAAAATTTGTGACTTTGGAAAAAGCAGTAGTGCGTTCTGATTTCTGAATAGCACTTATGGGACTTAGTGTAATTTTTCTCTTTATATTATTCTTAGACGATAGACATGAATCCTACCAATTTTTTCTTCACTTTTGAACATCCAGTGCTTCGCTCTTAGTATGTGTTAGGAAATGATTGTTGAATTGAATACAGGGGATTTGTCTGTGTCCGGAAAATGTCACAATTTTATTCACTATAAAAGCAAATGAATCTGTCCGTTTGATTGTCACTTGTGAAGGCGCATTTTATTGTCTCAGGGTTTTTGGACTGAACTCTTTCTAATATCTGAATTCTTCTCTAGTTATATTTCTTTATGAACCTAATTTTTAAACAAAGAATGGTATTACCACCATTTCCTCAGTTGTTTATTATTTTGTGCATTGTTATTGCTCCTTGGACTTTCTCACTCTCTGGGGGAACATAGGCAGAATTTCCTTATCCAGACTAAATTTGTTAATTAAATGCATTGCAGTTTGTGTTACAGAAGAACAATGAACAAAATAGTCACCATATAGTTTTTACTTTGACTTGTGTTTCTGATTATTTGAGAATTAATATTTCATTTCTTGAAAATATTTTTAATGGTGAGGTAGGCCTTGACTTTAGGTAAGGGATCAGGTTTCTGAAAGTGTCCCATTACTCATATACATGTAAATAGATGTCTTTCACAAATCCCACAGAATAATTTAAGATAATTAAAAATGGGGCTGTGAAACGATTTTCATACATGCAGGCAATTTGTGGTTTCGAAAGGCTACTTGGTTTTCTAACTAGAAACGTATTTTTTTTTGTTTGTTTTGTGAAGGGTAATTTATACATCAGATTTACTAATTTTTTGAATTAGTAGTGATACTTATTCTTACAAAATATGGTGGTAAAAAGATCATCTTTTAGTTGTCTTGTATTTTTGTTTTTCTTCCCCCTACTAGAATTCTTATCTTTGTTAGTGCTTCTTGTTCAACTCTTTAATGCTTTATTTTAACAAGTCAAAAATCATGATAAAATGAAAATAATTTCTTTTCACTATAACTGCTCCTGTTTACAAGCCCACTGTTCTTCATGTTAAGTGAGGGCCCTGTTCCTGGTTTTACTACCTCGGTTGAGTCTGTGGGGCTGGTTGACCTTTGGGAGTATTACAATAATGAAAATAATGAATGTTGCAAGTTTCAAGAAAACAAATACTTTGCTCCTGTGAACCTTCCAGTGTCTAGCACAGGATTGAATAAAGGTTCTGTGAAAGAGGAACATCTGGAGTATGCCTTACTTTTGTCTTAATAGCCAGTGGCAGAGTGGGGGAGAAAGAAGATACTATAGAATAATGCATGTTTATATCAGATAGAAAGAAAAATCTGTACTTGTACAAAAATTGTACAAAGTGTGCTACCAAATGTTATTTTAGATAATACAGAAGATGCTAACGTGTGTTACAATTTCCAATATCACAGTTTTAAGCATCATTTCACATCTACCTGTAAATCGACAGCCATGCCTTCATAAATGAGGTTAATGTAATTAGCTTGCCTGAACCCAGAAGAGGTTACATTTATTAAAAAAATACAGGGGCGCCTGGGTGGCACAGTCGGTTAGGCGTCTGACTTCAGCCAGGTCACGATCTCGCGGTCCGTGAGTTCGAGCCCCGCGTCAGGCTCTGGGCTGATGGCTCAGAGCCTAGAGCCTGTTTCCGATTCTGTGTCTCCCTCTCTCTCTGCCCCTCCCCTGTTCATGCTCTGTCTCTCTCTGTCCCAAAAATAAATAAACGTTGAAAAAAAAAAAAATTAAAAAAATACATAAAAACCCATGTCTGAGGATGACTCAGAATCTTAATTTTAAGGAGTTAATATTGTTTTCTTAATGAACTGTTAACATGACCGTTAATTCTGAAACTATTACATTAATTAGTTCATTAATAAACATAAAGATTTTTGTTTTCTTAACATAAAGACTAATGGCCATTAATTCAAACGAGACCTATCTTATACACCCAAGTACAGACTAATGTTGATAAACTGCCATTTAAAAAAAAATTTTTTTTAATGTTTATTTTTGAGAGAGAGAGAGAGAGAGAGAGACAGAGTACGAGTGGGACAGGGGCAGAGAGGGGGTGGTGGGGATACACAGAATCAGAAGCAGGCTCCAGGCTCTGAGCTGTCAGCACAGAGCCCGACACAAGGCTCGAACCCACAAACCATGAGATCATGACCTGAGCCTAAGTGGGATGCTTATCCAACTGAGCCACCCAGGTGCCCCTAAACTTGCCATTTTGTATCAAGCAGTGTTTTAAAAAAACAAAGCTTTCACTGTAAATTTTTTTTATTAGAATGTTTTAGACATGATTTAAGTCATTTTATTTTGGCCTGTAATCAGCCTCCTGAGGTATAATGAGAAATCCATTCCAAAATACAAGTGTAATTTTCAGTGTATGTATGTATGTATGTATGTATTTAGCAAACATCCTACCAGTGTGTGCCTGATTGTCTTAAATACTTGATTAGAGCAGCTAGTCTCTTTGGCCCTGAAAGTCCCCTTCCTTGCATGGCCCTGACCCAAGGGTCTTTCTGTCCGCTGTCGCAATAGTACTAATTCTTTCAGGTCCCCGAAGCCCCCTTGATCCTGCCTTTCCCTGTGCTTTTCTCTGTACTCCTCAGCTTTCCCGCTTGATTATAGTATCTGTTGGGTTATTTCTTAGCTTGCATCTCAACAAAAGTGTTTCCTTTTAAACACTTTAAAGCAGGTAGCATGGAATTGGCCAAACAGGCAGTTAACATTGTCATTGAACAACCTTAGCCACCTGCCTTGGGGGAACTTAGAAGGCTTTGCAGAAAGTAAGGACAGAGTGTTGATGGGCTCACTATGCTCACGGCAGGGCCCCGTCATAGTATCTGCCTCCACCATACCCATTACCTTGTCAGGATGTCTTGGGAGCACAGGTGTCCATCTTGATTTTGGTATTGTCCAAGTTTTTTACTGTTTGGAATCCCCCCATTTCATCAGTGTCCTTGGTGTCCCAGACTAAATGAAACTTTGGTACTCTTAGGGCCTCTGAAATAATGTTCTGCCCTTGTACAAATGGAATGGTCATACTAAAGCCGTAATGAGTCCAGTGCCATCAGGCCAATCTGGAAAGCTGTGCCCTGTGAAGCACATTTGTTACTCAGAAATCTCTTCTTTCTGGAAAACCACTGAGCCTTTAGTTATATTCAAAGTCATTCCTCACATCAACTTAATCACAAATTAAATTCACTGTCTTCGGTGAAGTTTTCAGAAGTCTTCGTGTCTTCTTGGAAAATGTTATGAGGCAAACAGGATTTATGATCAAGCTGTTGATCTCTCCGAAGAGTTTTGTGTAATCAGAATCACGTGGTTGATGAAAAGTTTACTTTCATACATTTTCATTGTCAAATGTTACTGTTTCTAAAACTCATTTAGCTGGTTGAATTAGAGAAGCACTAATTTTTTTTTTTTTTCCCTCATGAGGAGAGAAAGTTAAATTAAGGGAAATAATTAAATACTGTATATATTCACAGGATGTTTGCTGATAATACACACGAAACTCTTTCTTTCTGCTGTTTTCTCTAGGTGATTGAAGACAATACTGGAGTCCGCCGGGTGGTGGTCACACCCCAGTCTCCTGAGTGTTACCCCCCAAGCTACCCCTCGGCCATGTCTCCAACCCATCACCTACCCCCCTACCTGACTCACCACCCCCATTTTATTCATAACTCACACACGGCTTACTACCCACCTGTTACTGGACCTGGAGATATGCCGCCTCAGTTTTTCCCTCAGCATCATATTCCCCCTACAATATACGGCGAGCAAGGTGAGTAGATTGCTGCTGGCATCGGGAGCTGTTGAAACTGGTTACAACACAGAAGTAGCTTAGGAGAACCCGAGAGCCAGCCCTTGTTTCTTCTGGAAGGAGCACAGTAGGAGAGGATCCACCTGCTGTAGAACGCTCATGGGAAACTCCTAGCTCCCTTTGTCCCGAAGCGTGTCTTGAAAAGGTTACTTTGTGGGGGACAGCTCTTTGTATTTTCCAAAATTCTGCCCCCATCCACCCACCCCACAAAAAGCAGGGAGTGGGGTAGCCACATCTTAGTTTAGTAAGAAATAAGTGATCTGTCGTATGTTCCTGTGTTCCGTTTACATATTTTTAAGTGACAGTGCCCTTGGGTGGAACTGCATTATTTCTAGAAGTAGAAATGGTCTAGAAGTAGAAGAGAAGTTAAGTGTTTTGTGCCCAATTTCCAATGATAGAAGACTCTGAGGTCTCAGTAATCTTTCTGATTCCTGGATGCTCTAGGTTGCAATTTTGGTAGAACTCCGAATCTCCTCCGTGTGGTCCTCCTGCAGCCTGTTTTTACGTGAAGAGTAACCATTTGCGTGGCCACACTTTCACTGGTTGTTAGCCAGATATTCACGTTGAAATGAGGGAGTCTCACACATTATGTCTTTGTAATTTTGGCATTGGTGTTGGTTTAGTCTAAAGCCTTTTTCTATCAAAATGGATACTAAGAAACCAGGTAAGTGAGGGTAAAAATCAGACTTAAATGTCTAAGACTTTGCAAAGTGATTTTCTTCTAGGAATTGAAGCCTTTTATTACTTCAAACATATTTTTACATTGGTTCAAATACGAGAATTGCTGTTATGCTATTGAGTTTGAGAGTAAGTTATCCCCTGACTTTCTCTCATCAATTATATATGTATATATCAATGAAAAAAATTTTATTAATAAAAAGCAGACTGTCCTCTAACTTAGGGATAGAATTGCGTTTTGTTGTTTTAGGTTTTTTTGTTTGTTTTAGTAGAAAGAAATTTAGTATAATTCGCAGGAATCAAGTGCTATCGTAAGTGGGGCGTGGAGAGGTGATAGCATCTGTAACTTTGTATCCTGCCCGCGGACATCACACCCCAAAACATCAGACTAGTGAGGCGATGCCATGAAAACATTTGGACAAAATCCCCCCAAATTAAGTGAATTGTCATTTTAAAAAAACACAAAAAGTATTCAGTGTTTTGACACAATGTGCATTAAGTATTTGAGCATTGTCAGAGTTTTCTGATTTGCTCTGAGCTTAACGACCAGGAGCCTTGGCGACTGATCGCTTGGTGAAGAGTTGTGTGCCCTGCCTTGTGTCAGCAGTGTGTTACTAGGAAGCCACATAGTTCCTGTTTTGTAAATGATGTCCTCTGGAATTTTAGATAATAGTTTGATTTAAATGGTCATTAGAATTAAGAAAAAAAATTATGTCTAGGCTTCAGGAAAAAAAAGAGGGGTTGGCGCCTAGGTGGCTCAGTTGGTTGAGCGTCTGACTCCTGCTTAGGTCATGAGTTTGAGTCACTCGTCCCGCTGGCTCGGTGTTGACAGCTGGGATCCTGGAGCCTGCTTCGGGTTCTGTCTGTCTGTCTCTCTCTCTTTGTGCCTCTCTCTCTCTCTCTCTCTCTCAAAATGAAATTAACTTAAATTGTGTCTTCACTTCATAGGGTATTTTGGTTTAATTTCATTATAATAACCTATAACGATAACATACAGATGCAAGTGCCTCATCGATTTCATATTAAAGAAAGCAAAAAACAAAATCCCTTTGCTTTAGAGATATAAAGCCATTTATATATTCCCTTACCTTCCTTTTCAATGTGCATATCTAAAAGCAACTTAAAACATTTAATTTCCTAAACCATAGGAGTAAAGTCTTCAACGTGCTTTAAAAGATTGTTTTGTTAGTGTCCATGGTTAATATCTTAAATCTCAAGTGTGATGCATTGTGATAGTTAAAAAACATTTACCATCCTTTTTGTATAGTTGGGTATAATTTATTTGGGCATAGGGTTCTATTTGTTTTTTTTTTTTTCCACATTCTCTAGTGCAAATTAATTATCTTGCAAAGATTTGCTTTTTAAAGATCTTTCTTAAGGTATGGGAACAGAAAAAAAATGAAGAGCGAAGCCTTGCCATTGAACACTCGAAACATCGGTTGGGTGTTATGTAGGGTGACAGTACATTCCTGGTATGCTTAGAATAGTCCTGGTTTCAGTCTCTTGTACGGAGACATGATTAGGAATGCCAGGGGCGCCTGGGTGGCTCAGCCCCTTGGGTATCTGACTCTTGGTTTCAGCTCAGGTCATGATCACACAGTTTGTGAGTTCAATCTCTGGGATTCTTTCTCCTTGTCTCTCTGTCCCTCCCCTGTGCATGCATGCGTACACTCTCTTTTTCTCTCAGAATAAATAAAACTTAAAAAAAAAAAAAGAAAAGAAATGCTACCTTTCCACTCTCAGAAGTATTCAGTTTGGATGCTAATTTATTTGGTCATTCTGTGGCTATGGGGCCCTTTTCTATTGTAAACATTTAAGGAACCAATCTCTGTGGTATATATTGTCATTTTTATTGATGGCCTAAATTTAATTTTTAATTGATTTAACATTTTTCACTTAAAATGTTTTCTCCTAAGATCATGAAATTATTTTGTAGACTCCCATTCTTTTTTTGAGCCACCTACAAAAATACACATAGTGAAGCCAGGTGACATTTTCTACTCAGTTTGTTTTGCCTCTTGATTACTCCAGAATAGAAGTTTGAGACCACAGCTTACTATGTGTGGCACCAGGCTGCAGAGATGGCCTGTATTTACCACTACTATTTCTCCTTAAACGTTTCCCCTGATTCTTTGAGCTCTGAGTATTTTTAGTGGAAATTTTTCATCTCATCGTGTTAGTAAGTTTTAGTCAAATGTTGGCTCTTTTATTTTTTATGTATTAAAAAAATGGTTTTTTGAACGTTTATTATTTTTTGAGAAAGAGAGCATGAGCAGGGGAGGAGCAGAGAGAGAGGGAGACACAGAATCTGAAGCAGGCTCCAGGCTTCGAGCTGTCAGCACAGAACCTGACTCGGGGGCTCAAACTCATAAAACGTGAGATCATGATCTGAGCTGAAAGTTGGACGCTTGACTGACTGAGCCACCCAGGTGCCCCAAATGTTGGCTCTTTTAGATGCCACAAATAACTCTTTAGATTCTGGTTGTTAACACTCTTTCGAGTAGAAATGCTATTTTGTCTATAATGATGAGTATATTTTTAAGTGTCTTGATTCTAAGGACATGTTTATGGGGGTATTTTGGGTTTTTTTCTGACTTTTTTTTTGGTATGCTGCAACTAAAAGCATTTTGACAGTGATTTTGACAAAACAGAATGAAATTTGTTTATAAATTCAGCTAGATTATGAACTCTTTATGAACAGCAACTTGTCTTCTTCAGCATTTTCCATAATTTCTGGAACATTCATTAACACACTGTACGGTTTTTAATGATCATTCCTTGATTGGTCAGAAATGAGTGGGAATGTTTTATTTTTATTTTACTTCATTTATTCTTTTAAGTTTATTTATGCATTTTTGAGAGAGAGAAAGAGAGAAAGAGAGAGAAAGAGGGGAGGGGGAGGTGGGGAGAGGGAGAGAATCCCAATCAGGCTGTGCACTGTCAATGCAGAGCACGACACAGGGCTCAAACTCACGAACTATGAGCTCATGACCTGAGCCGAAAGCAAGAGTCAGATGTGTCTGAGCCACCCAAGTGCCCCAAATTGGGACTATTTTAAGCATGTATTTTATTTGTACATATATAATTTTAAAGGTATTTACTATGGTAATATTTTAAACTTCATCATTCAGGACTCAGGTTATTTGACCTGTTAGAATTTATTATCGAAACTGTAGACTGAGCGTGCATTTGTCATAACCCTCCATTTCAGAAATTATACCACTCTATGGAATGTCAAGCTACATCACCCGGGAAGACCAGTACAGCAAGCCTCCACACAAAAAACTGAAAGACCGCCAGATTGACCGCCAGAACCGCCTCAACAGTCCTCCTTCTTCTATCTACAAAAGCAACTGCACAACTGTGTACAACGGCTACGGGAAGGGCCACAGCGCCGGGGGTGGTGGAGGCAGTGGAGGCGGCAGTGGTGGTGGGCCAGGAATCAAGAAGACAGAGCGGCGAGCAAGAAGCAGTCCAAAGTCGAACGATGCAGATTTGCAAGGTAACGTGCAAAGATGTTTGCCATAAAGCATAAAACCATGGACACCTGGACATCCTAAAAGAAACATCTTTTACATAACAATGTGATTTCACGGTGGTTGGTCTTCCTACTAGGAATGACTGGTTAGACCTTCTCTGATCAGCAGAATATTGGATCCTCTCCTTTATTACTACTTTACGGCAGAAATACGTGTTGGTCACAGGTGCCATGTGACGTTCTACATACTCTCAGTAACAAGTATCTGAACTTGGTTCACTGCAAGGAGACAGGCGGGGAGGAGATCCATAGGAAAACAGTCTTTCTAAGAAGTTGAGGGCTGGTTTAAATCTGAACAGTATAATACTTTATAAAACCAGACGTCATTCCTTGGCTCTGTAGTGAAATTTATCATTGTGGAACAGTAATCTGTTTCTTGGTTTCAGGCCTCAATTCTTGTTTAATGCCACCTTTGCATCCTGAATAAAGTACTCCTATCCCAAGAATGAGGTGGAAGAAATAAGGTTGCTACATAGGAGACATCTGCTCAAAAGGACATATGTGTGTGTGTGTGTGTGTGTGTGTGTGTGTGTGTGTGTGTGTGTGTGTGTGGTTTTGTTTTTGTAGATTGGTCTTGTGGCTGTAGATCAGTTAATTTGGGGAGGAATGTATATGTGCTTTAAATGAAGTTTTTAGCCAAGATTTAGAAACAACCTATTTTGATGCCAAAGGAGTTAAAAACAGGCTCTGTATACAGTCACGTAGAGAAGGCTGACTTAACTGAAGCACAGTAAGGTGTTGTTTTGAAAAAGCCAGGTGAATTAACAAATATAAATATGTGAAGGCATGAGCAGCTATAAAAGACAAGATCAGAAGTGATTATAGCACTCATTAAATATACTCCTTCCTTTTACCAGACCTTATCTAGGTGTGTGTGAGAATGTGTTTGTGAATGAAAAAGACAGAAGTTGAGTATGTTTGATTGTGTACGGAAGGCTGGACGCTTTTGGGGCCAAGGACACGTAGGTCGGACCAGATGTTGGCATCAGCGTTTTATTTATGAGTGAATTATAGCATTAAAAAGAGGAATAGTAAGGTATAGTAAAAAATGAATAATAATTTCTCTGAGTAAAGTGTTATTCTTCTAGTTTTATCTTTTATTCTTTTCTATATTTTCCAAGTTTCATGTAGTTATCATGTGTTATTCTTAGTCATTAAAGTGTAAGCAAGTATATAAAAGAAACCCAAAGTTTAAGAGGCCTTTAAATAGCTTTTTAGGTATAGTCCTATTTCTGCCATATAAAGTAATTTTTAGTCAACTGATACTACAATTTCTGAGTTTGAAATTAGATTACAATCAATGTTAGAATTTTTAACCAGGGGCGTATAAGGGAATTCAAACAAAAAATTAGAAATAAGTTTTTCTAAGGAGAGTTTTAGTTTATAAAAAAGAGAAGAAGAATGTATAAGCAGTCTTCAGAGAGTGTAAGGAGGTTTGAACTTCCTTGATTACATGATTCATTCTCTAATAAGTTTTGCCCTGCCTTACACCAAAAGAGATTTAAGACAGGTGACAGATATATATAATAGAGTCAGATAGAATAAATTTGAGTAAAGATCTAAGGGGCAAAGAGATGAAGGAAAATAAGATGCGTCAGGGTTGAAGTTAGGAAATAAAACGAATGTAATTATGGATCAACTAGGGCAAAAATAAGTATCTTCCTTCTATGTGCAGTTATTTCGTATCATTTGTCTAAAAGTGTAAGCTCCTCTATATTTTAACATACTCCTAGCTGGAAGAGAGGCTATGGATTTGCACTGAAATCTATATGGAAATGTTTGCTAATATCCATATGTTTACAAGCATTTTGGTCTTCTGTGTAATGAATGAGAATATAATTGTTTTGAGCACCTTAAGCTCTTTGCTGTCATGTAGAAAACATTATTATTATTATAAGTTTTATTGTGATGCTAACAGTGAGATCACTTTCGCTGTGGACTTCTGGGAGGGTGTGTGTTGCAATGAAAAATTGGAAAAAAATTTTATCTCCGCTTTAGTCTGAACTTGGTCTATTTCTCCTTTTCCCATCACATTATTTACCTCCTCAAAACCACTCAAACTACAACTCTCCACATGGTTGAGTCATGAAATAAAGAATCAGATGGGGTATTATGTGTTCTACTTCATTTCAGTAAGGATCTGAGGGGTTTATGTATTGGATTTAAAAACTAAGTATTCGTTTTCCCAAATGAATTGGAAACTTATGTCCCGACAAAAACATACACACAAGTATTTATACCCGCTGTATTCATAATTGCCAAAACTTAGAAGCAACCAAGATGTCCTCCAGTAAGTAAATGAACTGTGGCACATGCAGACAATGGAAACCCAACACTAAACAGAAATGAGCTGTTAAAGTATGAAAAGACATAAAACCACCTTAAATGAAACATGCCAATCTGATGACCATATTCCAAGGAGGTAAAAGATCTGGATTCCAAAAACCAAGACATTGAGGAAAGGAATTGAAGAAGACACAAACAAATGGAAAGATATTCCCTGTTCATAGACTGGAAGGATTAATATTGTTAAAGTGTCCATAGTATCCAGAGCAATCTACAAGTTCAATGCAGTCCCTATCAAAATACCAATAACATTTTTCAAAGAACTGGAACCAATGATCCTAACATCTATATGGAACCGCAGAAGACCTCAAATGGCCAGAACAATCTTGCAAAGGAGCAAAACTGAAGATATCACAATCCCCTATTTCAAGATATACTACAATGCTGTAGTAATCAAAAGAGGCTGGTACTGGCAGAAAAATAGATACATAGATCACTGCAACAGGATAGAGAATGCAGAAATAAACCCATGATTATATGGTCAATTAATCTACAACAAATAAGGCAAGGGTATACAGTGAGGAAAAGACAGTCTTTTTTACAAATGGAGTTGGGAAAACTGGACAGGTATATGCAAAAGAATGAAGCTGGGCCATTTTCTTACACCATACACAAAGATAAAGTCAAAATGGTTTAAAGACCTAAATGGGAGTTCTGAAACCATTAACACTCTTAAGAGACGACATAGACGATAATCTGTTGGACTTGGACCTTAGCAGCGTATTTATGGACACGTCTCCTGAGGCAAGAGAAACCGAAACAAAAATAAACTATTGGAACGACACCACAATAAAAAGGTTTTGCAAACAAAATAATGAAAAGTCAATTTACTGAGTAGGAGAAGATATTTGCAAATGATACATCTGATAAAAGGTTAATATACAAAATATTTAAAGGATGTCTGCAACTCAACAAACAGAAAAACAATACAATGAAAAATAAGAGAGGATTGAAATGGACATTTTTCCAGAGAAGAAATACAGATGGCCAATAGGCACTTGAAAAGATGATCACTATTACTAATCATCATGGAAATACAAATCAAAACCATCAATGTCACCTTGCAACAGTCAGAACAGCTAGTATCGAAAAGACATGAAATAGCAAGTGTTGATGAGGTTATGAAGAAAAAGAAGCGATCATGCATGGTTTGTGGGAATGTAAATTGGTGCAACCACTGTGGAAACCAGTATGGAAGTTCCTCAGAAAATTAAAAATATAACTACCATATGACCCAGTGATTTCACTACAGGTTACATACCCAGAGAAAAACACTAATTCAAAAAGATATATGTACCCCTATATTTATTACAGCATTGTTTACATGAACCAAGATATAGAAGCAACATGTGTCCAATGACACATATATATCATGGTTATACACACACACACGTGCTTAAATATTATGCAGCCATAAAAAATGAATGAGATCCTGCCATTTGCAACAACATGGAGAGATCTAAAGAGGGTATGATGCTGAGTGAAATAAGTCAGAGAAGGACAAATACCATATGATTTCACTTACATGTGGAATCTAAAAAGCAGGCAAAAAACAGACTGTTAAATAGAACAAAGTGGTGGTTGCCAGAGGGGAGGTGGCTGGGGGATGGGCAAAATTGGTGAAGAGAATCGGCAGATGCAAACTTCCAGTTTTACATACTTTAAAAGAAAAACATCTCCAAATGAATCAGATATTGTTTAAAAATAAAATACTAAGAATAAGCAGGGGAGCCTGGGTGGCTTAGTTGGTTGAGTGCCTGTCTTTGGCTCAGGTCATGATCTCGCAGTCTGAGTTTGAGCCCCACATTGGGCTCTGTGCTGACAGCTCCGAGCCTGGAGCCTGCTTCAGGTTCTCTGTCTCCCTGTCTCTCTGCCCTTCCCCCACTCGTGTTGTCTCTTTCTCAAAGATAAACAAACATTAAAAAAAAAAAATTTAAAGAATAAGCAGATGAAGCAGTGTGCAAACAAGAATAGAATTGAATAAAATATAGTAGACAGAATGAAATAAACTAACATTCTGGATCCAAAACCAAAAAATCAAACCCAAAACAGATCCCTAAACCTCATTTTCAGACCTACCAAAGCAGAATACCTTTGCCTGATCTGGATTCATTTTTGCTTGTTTGTTTGTTTTTTCGTCAATCTTCCACTGGCAATGATGTCAGCCAAGATGAAGAACTGTCCTAATATTAAGGATGGTTACAGTAGGTGTGTTTCGCTAAGTTGTACACGATAGGAGGTAGGAACTTTAATTCACCATTCTCACCTCCTGGAACTATGTCTGGCACATAGTGGTTACACAGCAAATATTTGTGGAACGAATGCTGTATTCTTAATTGGTTTTCTAGAACAGGCCTTCTGTTTGAGCACATGGAGCTGTTGCACCATTTCTTCTTCCTAGGAAGAATCGCTGTGCTCCTCAGGGATACAGCCGTGCAGCCAACCCCTCCTTTCATTTACTCTTACCTTTGGGAAAATAGTGTAGGCAGGGCAAGGTCCCAATGATACCCTCAGAGAAGTGTAGGCCTCCTGTTTTTTGGTACTACCGTAGAGTTCATGGTGTGTTGGCATAGAACGGTTGGGACTTTGTTATCAGACGTACTTGGCTTAGAATCGAT